TATATATATATATATATATATATGCAATAACATGTTTACTGTGTACATAGTGTGTGCCAGGGAACTGTGCATGAAGTGCCTATCTGCAGGATTTTATCTGTTTTCCAAATGCTATAATAACCCTCAATTATTACTATTCTTCATATCACTGATAGGGAAACTGAGGCTCTAGTGGATTAAGTAGCCTTAAACTAGGTTTTATTAGAAAAGCAGTACACAATCCCAGAAGCTGTCAGGCCTCCCAGAAGGGTAGCCCTCCTCCTCCTGCACCAGGCCTCCTCCCTCTTGGTACTCTCCACCATTAACAATTTCTTCAGTGTCTTTTTGGTGTTTGCATTTGCAAGGATATTTATATAGGATCAAGGTCTTTTCCTTTTTATATAAATGAGACCATTCTTCAACATGTTTTATTGATTTAACAACATAGACCAAACTCCTTTGTACCACACATGTCTTGGGGCCTGGGACACAGTCATGAGGAGACAAAGCCCCTTGATTGAGGGACTTACCTGACATTGCCTCTATCAGACACAGATCCTTCTCACTCACTTTAACCCTAGGGAGTGTCCCACTGTATGAGCATCCCCCTTGATGATACAGAAAGGGATTTTCAAATTCTGCTGAGATCAGTACTCAGTAAATATCCTGTACTTTGCAACCAAGAGGCACTTTATATATGCTACCAGAATGCGAGGCAGCTTCAACATCCTCATGAGCAGCCTGCATTCTTGCTTTGCTGATTACCATTATTAAATGTTTTTTAAAACATAGGGAAGGATTCTGAGTTTGGGGGGTACCTCCCAACATATTTTGAGATAATTACATATTTTCATATGTTCGTTCTTCAACCTATCAATATGGGGTATTTTGTGACTAGATTCACAATGTGGAGCCTTGCTTGTATTTTTGTTATGAACCCCTGTGCAGATGGTGGGATCAAGGTCCTACTGAATCTGTGTCTGATTTTCTGTAGGATTTTTAAAAAGCAGACTTCTTTGCAACAGTCTCAGGTTCACAGGGAAATTGAGCAGAAGATGCAGAGACTTCCATTTGTCCTGGTCCACCCCTGACCTCCTGCATGGACACACCCTTACCTTACCGCCCATAGTTACCTTAGAGTGCACTCTTAGTACTGGGTCCATACAGTATCAAAAGAAGCTGTTTCACCACCCTATCACTCTCTGTGCTTTGCCTGTCTCCCCAGCTGCTAGCAAACTCTGATCTTGTTGCCATCTCCATAGTCCTGCCTTTTCCAGAATATTCTGTGGGATCTTCACATCGGTGTTTCTAAGGGATGTTATTTCACAGTTTTATTTGTGCTGTCTCTGTCTGGCTGGATGCCAGTGTCTTTCTGCCTTTGTGAAAAGCCTGGGAGCCTGGAGGTTCCTCTGTGCCGAGTTATGTAAGTTCTGGACAAGTCCACCTAGAAGTCGTCTGGCCAGCGCTGCTGCTGGCTCTACGTCCTTTCTCCTTCTTCACCATCCGTGTCAGTCTTTCCCTTTCCTTACTTCTCCATCTCTGTCCCCCTCCCTTTCCCCTTCCCCTGCCTCCTTCCTTCTCTTACCCCTTTCTGTCTCTCCACCCATCCCCACCTTTGCCTTTCTCAGCCGGTCCCTCACCTCTGGACTTTCTTCTTCCCAGCCTCCTTCCCAGGGAGAGCAGGCCTGCTCCCTTGGCTACCTCCTGACCCTCTGGCACCCACAGAACCAGTGACTTCCTACCCTTGTTACCCCAGTGCAGGGTTTCAGCTCTTGCTGATCAGGGCGGTACCTTGGCCACCATATTCACCACGCTGAAAGAGGCCTGGGGACTGGGTCCCAGGAATGTGTCTGCCCACCAAGTGAGTGCTTTGGGGCAGCAAGCTGCAGCTGGGGA